TAAACTACAAAAGAGGAAGGGGGTATTTTGATGGGTGTTTCACTGACTACAAATGGTGAACAAAGAATATTATTGTTTTGTTTCTCTTTTCATATTAGGAGATTAAGATATGTTCACAAGATCAGAGGCTGTTCTCCTGGTCATTTTTTCATTTATGACGAAGTCTAACTCGTATGACTCATATGGAGACTACCAGGACCAAATGAGGAATTATTATGACTCACTGTATCAAAGATCTTTTACTAAAGAAAAGCCAAACAGAGATGCTGGACCATCAAACTTTATAGATCTCAAAATGCCTGGCGTTCACCCAGAGGAGGTAGGCAAGCTTTTCTAATTATTGTGCTTTAAAGCTTTTGGTAATTGGTGTTCAGTAGCATCATGTAGAGATGGGAGGTAAAAAATTTTCAAACATTATTTAAAATCACTTTGAAAATATTTGGGTGAAATGTCCAATTTTAGATTTGACATGTGCCAAGTGACATGAGCTTTCTTAGTTTTGTGCATTCCTCATGTTCATGCAACCAACTGTTATTTAGCATAATAATTTATGCAATCATGCTTTTGTCTTCAATTTTTATACCTAAGGTTTGTACATTATGTAGGGAACTTTCACCATTAATGTTCAATGCAAGATTTGCATGTTTAGTAGAGTTGAGGTTGGTGGCCATGGTATTAAAAAAAATTACATCTGTGAAATTTTATTTCAATTTTTTTCTGGACTTTTTGTATTCATAATTGATCTTTTTGGCAAAAGATGCTCTGGATCAACATAAATGATCCAGCATAATGTTCCTTGCTGATGCATGCATTGACAGTCTTTAATTCAAGTTGTTAATATGTTACTGTTGGAAGCTTTGTCCAAATTGAATTTAATTTGGCTATCAATTTACTTAGTAGCAATATTGCAGTTACCAGTATATACCATGGTTATATTATTTAATTTCAAATTAGATAACCTAAGAAATCTATCTGAATGAATGATTAAATATAGTGGAACCTCTGCTTTTAAATCTGCTAAAAGGACCTCGAGCTCGAAAGTTTAACCAGGTGTCCAGATGAAGCAGGTGCCATAAGGCAGAGTTTGACTGTCTGAATGAATAAATGAAGGAATGAATGATAGTGAAAGAATGAATGAAATGATAGAATGGCAATGTTGACAAAATTTTGACACAGGTGTAAAACCTTTTTTTTTATGTAACATTTCTATATAGTTAACCATATGAATGTGACTGCACATAAAGATTAGCAATAAGAGTGATATTTGAATATTTACATGAGAATGATGCTGACTTGACTTACGTGTATGAATGTCTTCAATTCTCGCTTCAATTGTTCAGATAATTATTTATGGAAAAAGCTTTGAATTCTTAAAGTTACTAAGTAAACAGATACCAGCTTCTGGTTGTTTTTCTCCTTAAAAACCATCTTTGAAAGCATTGTAAATTCAGTCTTGGATCTCTACCCTTTTGAAGAAAATTTCATTGATTACTCAAAAATGGTTGTGTAGGCCATGCTATGTGTCTTAGCATTCAGTAATTTTATCAGTTTCCTGTATTATATTCTATACTTGGTAAAAGTTGGAAGTGATTCTATTTGTGAGAATTTTTCTTTTTTTGGTTTTATTTAGTCTGAAAATCACTGATTGTGACAAAAGTGAGCATGGTTTGTGAGTCATTGTATTTTGGACTGGTATTTATTGTCTTTGAATTAATATTATGTCATTTCTGTCCAATACAAAGAGGAGAAGCCTTCTTGTGATAGTTGCCAAGTTGCATTTACAGTATCTAAGTTGTATTGCATTCTGACATTTATACTGAAAAGTGAAACAAGCACCCTCTCTTCAATTATTGCATGCCCTCCATTAAAATTAGTATCCAAGGCACGTAATTCATTCATTATGGTAAGGAGTTTTTCGTTTATTGACCAATCCAAGTGGAATAATACGTACTGTCTTGCAGCATGACTCATACCTTTGTACAGCTATGGATCTTGATCGTCACAAGGAAGCCTATATTGGTAGGGTTTATGTGTTTTGGTGGCATATTGATACATGCATTGAAAACTGATTTCAAAATTTAAAATACATCTATATACTAACTTATTTTAGTAGTAGTAACAATCTTTTATTAGGAAGCTCCATCACTAAAAGTGGTTTACATAGAGGTCCTAATACTGAATTAGCTGCAACCAGGCTCAAATGTAACTTATGTGTAGTCTTATGAATTTAATTATTATCTGACAGGGATGGTTTCTTTATGCAAACACAACTCTTACTGAGTTGTAATTGCATATTTTCTGAGTATGAAAACATTTCAACCATCTGAACTTTGTATCATTCTCAACAGCTGGATTTGAACCTCATGATGAAATGCATACAGCGCATCATATGTTATTGTTTGGGTGCCCAGCTCTAGGAGAAGTGGCTTTGGCTAGCAATGGAAAATTTTGGTATTTTTGTAAATTATATCTGCATAACACAATAAATGCATAACAATAGTGCATGCATAAACACATTAAATGAATTTGGTTTCCATAAGCTTTGCTTTCAAGGAATATTTGTTATTTACTAAAATACAGAGAAACATGGACTTCATAGCCTTCAACATAAGTAAATAAATTCTGAACAAACACTTTCCCATAGTTTAATTGTGGTTCCAAACAATCATGAAAGATAGGTAGACCTACATAATTTTTTGTTTTGAATGGCCTTACTAGTCCCAGATCTTAACCCCCCCAGCAGTTTCTGACCTAACCAGAAGAATTTCACGTTTTCAGATGGGTAAAACATGGTGAAGAAAAAAAAATATCCAATTTTTTTTTTTTATTTCTGTATTCATTATGAGTTCATGTATAGTATCCATAAGCAAATAAAAACGTGTCTATGATATACACTTCTAGGAATTGTGGGGACATGGGATCAGGTGTGTGCGGTGGTGTAGAAGAGAAGATAATGTATGTATGGGGAATAAATGTTCCAAAGTTGAAGTTACCTCCTGGTAAGTCAGTTCCTTCAGTTTACTACAAAACAGATTTTTTATATTGTAAAAGGTACACCCCTCCCTCTTCTAGATCTATAGGTTCCAAAAACCCCTTACAAAGTTATATAAGTCCAGGGTTTATGACTGAAAAGGTATGGTATTGTGACATGGAAACATAACTTTTATATGCTTTTATACATGGTAATGTTCACTCTTTATCGCCATGCATTAATCATTATTTTTCCTGTGAACAGCCTATGAATTATTTTGCTTTCTGTTGTTTTTAGATGTTGCCTTTGAAGTGGGTGGTGATTCTGGTGTGAATTATCTTGTACTTCAAGTTCACTACAAAAAGGTTGATCATTTCTTAGGTAAATTGGTTATTTCCTTCAACGGGACTTTTGTATATTCTTGTCACATGCTGACCTTGTCAGTCATTAAAAATGGTCACAGAAGAAAGTGGATGCCTGGAAATTGAAAAAGTGGGATGAAATTTATAAGTCAAAAAATGTTGAGTATGTATAGTGGTCAATGTGCTTAGCTACACCTAGCTACAATCATGGACAAAAGTCCTTGGGACACTTATGTAATTTAACGAATTATCTGTGTTTTACCATTGAAGTTTGAAAAAAGTGCTGCTTTCCTTTTTAAACTGCGTTACTTTTCCCTCTCCCCACCCAATACAATGTTGAAATTCAGAATAAATTGCAGGTAGTAGTTTTCAACATTGTATGGGGGGGGGGGGGGGGGG